ATTTGATTGGCTCTCTAAATCACTTAAAACTTCGTAATTCAAATCGCGTCAAATTTCCTTATTATTAACTTATTAAATCCTGTTCTAATACTATACTTCATGCAATAGAAAAAAAACAATAATGACAACCGAACAATTCGATTTTTTAAAGGATACTGTTGCAAACATACCGGACCCTGTGGAAACTGTAGATGGTGGTGAAGGTCCATCATCAGGCGGAGCTAGCAACAATGATATGGAAGGTATCCTAAGTGCTGATGAACCTGATGTCGATACGGCACCTCCACAACCCAAGAAACGAAGAGCTCGGAAAAAGTAAATAAACATTATAGATTATTTACATTATATAATATACATTAAACGCTATTTTTCCAACAATAGGAATAATGACGATGATATCTATGTACCGCCTGCTGGTCCTCGGCCTTCAAAATCAAGACGGAGGTGGGTATCGCTTATATATGATTTGTAGTCTTTTCTTGCATTAGTAGTATATATATTAAAGATAAATGCTCACATAATTTAAATTTATTTTTGCGGCATAAAGCACGAGAAAAAAAAAAGAGGCAGAAGATTGGTAGCCTTCAGACATTCATTTTCACAATCATTTTAATGTATTTAGTATATATAATAATGTCATAAGAGCTTTGTGATTCTTCTACTAATTATGTAAATTTATTATTCAATGAGAATTCTTGCTTCATGGTTAGATGGTGTATGTGAATATTTCTTGTTTTCTTTAATATTTTGTGATAAATTTTAAATTTGAGTGTTGCAATGCTGCATTATATCAACATGATGAAAAACTAGTCTCTTTTATTTGCAACACATGAATTAGATATATTTTCAATAAAGTTACGAGATACTTCTTCTGATAACTACTATTCATAATAAAAACAAATTCCAGAAATCAATTTATCATTGATCGAATTTATTTATATTTCTATAAGGTGCATATTTAAATGGCACCAAAAATGTCAAGATATTATTTGATTATTATGAAAATTTAGTTTTTTTTTCAGGTTAGGTTAGAATTTGGGTTTAATAAGTTAATAATAAGGAAATTTGACGCGATTTGAATTACGAAGTTTTAAGTGATTTAGAGAGCCAATCAAAT